AAACATGCATAAAATAGTAAAATGCACTCCCTAGCATGCATGAAAGGCCAAATAACCTCTCCAATATTTCATACCAAACGAAAATAAGTGAAAAGCTTCATAATACTCATCCCAACATGCTTGCAAGAGGAGCAAAAATCATTTCAAAGTCATGCCTTAACTCCCTAAATGTTTCCAACGTAAACATGCCACAAGAACCATGAATATGTCATAGCCTCCCTAGTTTAGGCGAGTAACCAAGTCTAATTTTAACACATGCTCACATTTTCATTTCCAAATGCACTTGAAGTAAATATCTCAAAAATATATCCAAGTAAAATGAACTAGCATGCTGTATCCTCCATTTAACCGAGCAAGAGGAGGCTCGACAGAGAGAAAACCTCAGGAAACCAAGGCATAGGAAAGAAATGGAAGAAGAGGTACCTCCTCAATGCAAACGTAAAGCACAGCAACACAAGAAGCTACCTCAAAGAAATGCTCTCACAGAAATTCCCTTTCCAATCTCCTCACAGTCAAAATTTTTACTCTCCTCTCAGAAAACTTTTCTCAACAACCCAAAAAATTTCAAAAGTAACTATGTTTATAGGCATAGAAGAGAGGAGAAGAGAAAGGAGATCACCCCTCGACCCACGGCACTCGAATCGGGACAAAAAAGAAAAGGGACGTGCTCCCTGCTCACAGAAGGCGAAGCAACCGAAATATCTAGGACCGAGCGGCGAGCCTAGTGACAGCGAGGGAAGCATCGGGAAGAAGAGAAGATATTGCCGTTCAAGTGTCCCAGGGAACAAGCTTCCCAGAGTCAACTTACCAGAGAAGGAAGCTCGCGGCTCGTGAAGGCAGGCGCGGCTTCGGGAAGGAGAGTCGCGGGCAGAAAGTGTCGAGTGGAAGGCTGGAGCGCAGCAGGGAGTAGGTGGAAGCTTTTTCAGAGTGCGAGGGGACCTCGAGGAAGCTTCGCGAGAAGAATCGGGCTCGGCTATGGCACGCAACCGAAAGGAATGGGCGGGACTCGCGAACAGGAGAGGGAGGCGAGGCGTGTGTTTGATTTAGGGATTTAGGGCTTTTAAAAGGAAAAAGGAAAATCTGTATTTTTTTATATTATTATATATATATATATATATATATATATTAAATCTCATGAAATTTACTCGCGCGCAGTGCCTTAGCAAAATGGGTGTCCTCCCTAAGCAAAATCGACATTCCGGACGCGCCGGTGCAGTCCGTTTTATCATCCGGGGTCACTCGGACGATATCGTCGACAATCGAGTCAAAAACGCGTCAAAATTCAAATTTCACAAAATTTCGACCCGCGATCGATCGTTTCAAAAGGTTTACTTCAGCATTCGACAGGTAACAGTGCAAACGATATGAATCATGGCGATCGGACGTGTCGACACTCCGAGTTGCGAACTTTGTGCGCGCGGTAGTGCGAATTGTGCAAAAGGCCACCCTAAGGCTCAGGAAGGTCCTATAGGGAATTCCTTTTGGGTTTCCTCATGTTGGTTTCGTCCTTCTAAGTGCTAGAAGTCGATACCACACACGCGAAACCTCCAAAAGAGGACGGAAATAGGTCGAACTAAAACGAGGCGGGCACCACTTCTAAGGCTCTAAGATAAGACCCCTAAGGCTAGATCCTAAATCCTACGAGAAAGACTAGACCTCACCAAAAATGAGGTCAACACAGCCCTCTTGTTGTTTCTGACAGCCCACAGCCTTCCAACTGCCTCATACCTGCTACCATCACCGTTCCAGACCTACCGCCTCGCTGCCCTCACTGTCCCAACCCTCCACCAGTATCGCCGCAGTCGCAGTGCCTTCCCTTTTCTGTTTTACTACTGTTCAGCTGCACCAGTATCGCCGCAGTCGCATTGCCTTCCCTTTTCTGTTTTACTACTGTTCAGCTGCCCCAAACAGTAAAGTGCCTCTGTTTGGACTGCCATCCTTTACTGTTTAGATGTTCCCGCCCATAATCGCTGTCGCCTCTCATCATTGTCCGGAAACTCCTTCCCTACCTTGCCTCCATTTATGCTTATTCATAACGCTATCTTTATAAATAGAAATAGCGGCACTTCATCAATTTCAGTAGCACTCTGTAATCAATAATTCAGAGATTCATGAATTTGTATAAATTGTCAACTTTATATTTTATGTTATTCTGGTTTTTACGATATGTAATATTGATCTTTTTATTGGTTTGCCATAATCGCCGTGCATCACTTCTTGTTTCTTTTACTTTTATAGGCTCAAAGAGCGCACGTGAAGTTCTGTTCCATGTTTTGTCTAATGCATGTAAGGATGGTGACCTTACCGTTGACGAGGCAGTTCTAGCAGTTCAAGATATATTTAGAGAAAATGCTCTTTGGCTTTACAATTTGCGTGCTGTTGTTGGTTCTACGGATTACAATGGTTCCATTATCCAAAAAAACACATTGAAGTCTAACGCGTTATTAGATGATATTGTGTTTGTTCGTATCATCTGGGTTGATGCTTCTGGGCAACAAAGATGCCGAGTGAGTTTTTCTACTAAGCGATACTTCCATGTTGATTTTTGTTTTCTTTAATAGAGTTTGATTGAAAGCAAAGGGTTAGCCATTGATCTTGGAAGTTCAAAATATTTCATAGCATATTAGCTATAATTATGTATTAGATATCATTTATGGAAAAATTTCCATGAAGTTTTTCTATTCAATAATTGCATAGGCTTCATGTTTAGGTTCTCGTAATTTAGATATGCATTTCATGCGATTCTAGCCATGTAAGTTTTCTTCTTTCTTAAAGCTAGTGTCATGTTGGTTAAAAAAAAAGCAAGTATAATAATCCAGAGCTCTTAAGTAATTGGCACCCTTGAAGCATGCAGAAAGATCCTCTGAAATTGATTTAATTCCATTGTTTATTCAGGCAGTTCCAGCAAGGCGTTTTTATGAAGTTGTAGCAAACACCGGTGTAGGATTGACTTTTGCATCAATGGCTATGACTTCATTTGCTGATGGCGTAGCAGATGGAACAAATCTTTCTGGTACTGGTGAGGTCAGACTGGTGCCTGATTGTTCAACTAAACACCGAATCCCATGGTACAAGATAATTTGATTTGTTTAATTGTTGTGCTTTATATTTTATGATAATGTATATTTCTACCTTAAGTTATGGAAATTTTCAAAACAATAAGCCAAAGGCCTTCATTATGATTATTGTACTACAATTGTTCCATATACCTTTTGCTATAGCATATCTGTTTTTTGCTTCCATTGATAAATTCCATAGATCTTCCATCTTGGTATCTTGAAAAATTGTATCATTCATATTATGATCAGTTTTATAGTATTTAATACCTGAAAGTTTCTTCAATCTTTTTAGTTTTGAAAATTAAAGCAAAAATATGTGCTACCCAGTGTGCTAGTTTCCCTTTACCTTTTTTTTATGAAATCTATGTCTGCAGTCGCCACTAATGCTACTTTATGCACAATGCACATGTATTTATTTGGATGGGAGGACAGTTGACATCCTTACTTTCGCATTCAAGATTGTGTTGAAGGCTGTGATAGGCTAATAGCTGTATGTTGTTTGCTTTAAATAAGATAGAAAACACAACGAAGTTTGTAAGAGACAAGTAGCAGGAAGTAGTCGTTCTATAAATAGTTTTATATTTTGCTTTGCACTTAGGACCACATCCTTTCACATTTTCTGAATATTGGGCGTGAATTTGTAACTCATTGGCCTTGCTGAATGCCATGACATATGCTACATCTTAAGTGGTGTAATTGCAATATTATATTATGTTATTATTATTATTATTATTATTATTTGTGCAATTGCAACATTCTCTTGATTAAATTTTTAAATTAAAATCCTTTATTAGTAATGAAGAAAATAAAATAGGCAGTTGTGGGGGACGGGATCTAATATTTCCAAAATTGCATCAGACTATAGAAATATAAATAGTTCTATTCATTGTAATCTTCGGCCGCACACCCCACATAAACGTAACATTATGTGCTTTTGTTTTTTTACTGTGATCTTATATGTATATTGTGCAATGGTATGCGTTATGTATCCATCTGATCTAATCATCTTGGATTTGGTTTGACAGAACATTCATTGGCATCCTTGCTAATTAAGGTTTTGGCATTAATTTTCTCGAAATTTACCTTTTTTTTTAAAATAATGTTACCCACATAACTCATCAATTTCCCATATAAAACAAATTCCTGAGAAATTTTAGAAAGTTTTATTTCTTTCGATGAGATTTATTTTTCCTTTTTCATTTAATTGTTGAGATTCACACACGATAGGTCAAATAAGGAGGAAATGGTGCTGGCCGACATGCAAATAAAACCTGGTGAATCCTGGGAATATTGCCCTAGGAGTGCTTTGCAAAGGGTCGCAAAAATTCTTAAAGAAGAATTTGACCTGGTATTCTCAATTTCAATTTCTCATCTTTGATACATTATGGCCTTTCTCTGTGTACTACATATATTTATATTGTTGAAATTTTGGAGTAGAGTAGTATATATTATTGATAGAAAGAGGGTATACAAACCCAATTACAAGGGGGCACTCATAAGAAATGCAATAAAAACAGAATAAAGGGAAATAAGAAAAAATAAAAATAGAATAAAGAGAAATAGGAAGGCAAATAACAGCAAATAAAAGAAAATTTGCATATTAATAACAACTAGGGATAATTATTATTATTTTAATATTATAATACTCCCCCTCAAGTTGAAGCATAGATGTCAATCATGTTCAATTTGAATTTGAAGTCATCAAATAGTGGCCGAGGAAAGTTCTTTAAGAGAATATCTGCTAGTTGGCCCCTCGAGGGCACCAAATGAATACAAATTTTCCCAGACTCAAGTTTTTCCTTGATAAAGTGTATTGCAATCTCTACCTGTTTGGTATGATCATGTTGAATGAGGTTGTAAGAAATGCTAATGACGGATTTATTATCACAGATTAACTGCAGAGGGTCGGAGGTCGGCATGCATATTTCTAAAAGCTTGATGCATGACTAGAGAGCTTCACAGTTTCCCAAGGACATGGATTGAAATTTAGCCTCAACGCTGCTACGGACAACCACTGACTACTTTTTTCGTTTTTATGTGACAAGATTTCCTCACACAAATGAGCAGCACCTAGAGGTTGATCGTCGATCATGGACTAATCTGGTCCAATCAATATTTGTATAAACAACATTACAGGTGTGACACAAAAAAAAATAAACTTAAGATAAGTGTGTCTTTTATATAGTGGAGAATCATGTGGACAACGAGAAGATGGTGCTCATAGAGATCATGCATGAATTAACTTTGCATACCAACCGCATGACATATGTTTGGGCGTGTGTGGGCGAGATAGATGAGTTTTCCCACAAGACGAATGTAGTGAGTCTTGTTAACAACAGCGACATTGGGAACATCAAAAAAAAATTTTTAGGATCCATTGGGACAGCCGTCGGTTTGCATCGAAGCAGATTATTCTTTGTTAACAAGTCAATCAAAAATTTGCGTTGAGAATTTCTTAGCCCAAGAAGTATCTGAGGGATCCCAAGTCCTTAATTCCAAATGACGTAGCTCAAATGCTTTTCAAAGACTCCATCGTTGGTAGATCATTTCTTGTGTGCATAATATCGTCGACATAGACGATAAGAATTGTAATCTGGCCATTGAAAGAATGTCAGAAGAAGAGAGTGTGATCCAATTGAGTCTGAGAAAAACCATGGCCCACTTTTACCTTTATGAACTTGCCAAATCAGACCCATGTGGATTGTTTTAGTTCGTAGAGGGACTTTTGCAACCGTTGCACTTGTTCGGGAGTGGCAGTAGAGTCAAAGTCAGGGGGAAGGGACATGCAGACCTCCTCTGTAAGATCTTCGTTCTTGAATGTATTCTTGACATCAAGCTGGAATAAGAGCCAATACAGATTCATCACAAGAGATAACATGACTCGAATGGTGTTTAACTTGGCCACCGGAGCAAATGTATTCTCATAGTCAACTTTGTAGTTTGTGAGTATCCTTTGGTAACCAACTGTGTCTTGTTGCGCTCAAAGGAGCCATCTGAGTTAAACTTGATGCTAAAAATCTATCGGCATCCCACTGCTTTCTTATCCCGAGGAATATCTATAAGGTCCCATGAATGTTCCACTTAAAGGCATTCATCTCCTCAATTGTTGTAGCTTTCCAGGCCGTATCTGCTAATGTAGCCTTAATAGTAGTTGAGATCTGATGAGTCGTCATAATAACAACAAATGCTCTATGGGTCAACGATAAAGAGCGGAAAGAGATATATTTTGCCAGAGAATAGAGAGAGCATGTCTGTTTGCATATCTTACTCGGGGAACTCATCTTTTCATTTGGAGTAGTAGTGATGGGGATGTCACTAGGAGTGGATTCAAGGTCTTGCAAGGAGGTAGCGGGTTCTAGGTAGGGGCATCAAGGCGATTGCGCCGAATGCGGACGCGGAGACTGGGAGGAGGAGATGATGGAACAACAAGAATCAGAGATTCTTCAGTTGCGGGAACAATGTGGGGAACAACCATAGGACTAGGATAAGGAATAGTGTCCATGAATTATAGCTCCCCCTCACTTGAGGTGAAGTTAGGAAAATAGGGAACAGTCTCAAAAAAGGATACATCAACACTCACATAAATTTTGTTTGTGATAAGATTGAGGTGTTGATACACTTTTTAAGTGGCAGAGTACCCTAGGAAAACACATTCAATGGAGCTGAGATCAAGTTTACTTCGAGTGGAGTCAGTGTTCTGAACAAAGGCCGTGCACCCAAATATTTTGGGATTTAAAGTAGAGAAGACTTGATTGACAGGAAAGCATGGCATCAAGACCGTTAAAGTGGTTCGCAAGTTGTGAATTTTAGAGGGGATTCTATTTATGAGATAGGTGCAAACAGTATGACATCATTCTGAAAATATTTTTGAAACATTTGTATGACGTCGAAGAGATGTCAGTTTTTTTTCTCCGCTATCTTTTTTGTTGAGTGCCCGTACACGAGCTATGGTGAAGGATGTTCTTACTTACCAAGAATTCACTTAAAATAAAGTTAAATTCACGACCATTGTCGGTTTGAAGGGTCTTAATTGGAGTTTTGAAATGGGTCAAAATGAAGGTGTTGAAGTTTTGGAAAGTAATAACAACTTTCAATTTATCTTTTAAAACATAGACTCACTTCATCTGAGTGTGATCATCAGTCAAAATAAGAAATCATCATTTATTGGTGTAGCTGACAGTGTGAGAAGTTCCTCATACTTCACTGTGAATGAGTGAAAAGGAGCAGAAGGTGTGTAAGTGTAGGGTGGGTAATGAACCTGATGAAATTTGGTTAACTAACATGTCTCACATTTGAAACTAGAAAGACTTTAATTAGAAAACATCAATGGATACAAGTGTTTTAAATATTGAAAACAAAGATGTCTCAATCGATAATGTGAGAATATAATGAGACATTCAGTGACTTGAGATAGGCTACAACTATTAAGTGATATGTCTTTATCTCTGTGCTTTTCTCTTAGAAGTTGTAGATTCTAGCTGCCCGCTTAGCAGTTCCAATCATCCTTCCCAAACGACTATCCTGAAAGACACAAACATCAAGAGAGAAATCGGAAATCCAATCAATGTCATGTGTCAACCTACTGACAGATAAAATGTTACACTTCAACGGTGGTACATGTAACACAGATTCCAGAGTTAGATCAGTCGTTAGAACAATAGACCTTTTACCAACAATGGAATTATAGGAGCAATCCGCAATTCTGACCATATCTTTTCTAGAACATGAATAGTATGTTGAAAAAGCTTATGAACATCCAGTCATATAGTCCACGACACCTGAATCAATGATTCACGAAATAGAGGAGGAAAAATACGTGAGTGTCATAGGGAAAGTACATTGACGGACGTTTGAGGTCGACGGGCCAACAGAGAACTGATTGGATCCAAATAGTTTGATTTAGTGCTCTATCTGACTTTTCAGATGGCAGAGGATTCCAGAATGTTTTGGGTAGGAGCCGGCTGAACCATGGTAGATTCTGATGTCGCAGTAAAACCCTTGGCAACAGAGGATTTTACTGAGGATTTGTATGTCAATTTTCTGTGGATCTTCCAACACTTGTCGCGAGTGTGGTTGTGTTTGTGACAGTAATAAGAAAATGAGGTGACTTGCCAAGAGGGTGGAGCACTGTTAGAGATCAAGGCAAACGATTTGGTTGAAGGGGTGGAAGTGCCGAGCATGATAAGTCTCCGACAATTTTTACTGCGAATCTTGATGAAAGCAGCATGAGCGGAAAGAAGAGGATCCTGACCAAGAACACGTCATCGGACTTTGTCAAGGTCTTTGTTGAGGCCTCCTAGGAATTGGAACATGCGATCCTTTTCTACAATTTTCTGGAAGAGAGAAAAGTCGGTTGGAGAGTCCCAAGTGTAGTCGTAGTAAATGTCACATTCCATCCATATTGCCACCAATTCATTGTAGTACTAGGTCCTGGGCTTTGATCCCCATTTTGCTTCTTGGATCTTCTTAGATACGTCATAGAGTTTGTCGGAGTTTCCTATATCCGAGTAGGTATCACGGACGGCCATCCAGGGGGCACTAGCGGAAGGGAGGAACATATATGAGCTGCCAATCGACGGTTCCATGGAGTTAATCAACCACGACATGATTATGGAGTTCTCCATTTCCCAAGCTTTATATTCCAGATCAGTATTTGTAGGTTCACAGATCATGCTTGTGCGGTGACCAAATTTCTCGCGTCCTTTGATGAATAAGGATACCACTTGGAACCATTGGAGAAAGTAATGTCGTTAAGCTTGTGGGTTGTGATCAAGAAGTTTATGTTGGTTTTTGGTTCTCTAGTCTGCACAGGAACGGAGGTTGGAGTCCAACCTCCGGTGAAATCAATAACACTTTCTGAGGATGGCTTAGTGCTAGAGGAGTCTGCCATGATTCCGACTAAGCCCAAAGAAATTTAGTTGGGATTCTGAGACATCATCGGATTTCAGCTTGTAGGTTAGCGGCTTTTAAAAAAAATAGGTAATCCGGACAACTCCAGGGGAGACCGATCGCTGAATCTGCTCTTGCAGGGAGGAGGCCGGCGGTTGCTAAGGAGGCCTGTGGCTGTAAGGGACAGCAAGGGAAGGCCAACAAGTCCAGACTTCAGCTAGAAGAGCCGATGGTGGCTGTAGGGACGACTGACGGTGCTGGGATTTAGGGTAGAATCTTGCTCTGATACATGTTCAAATATTGGAGTAGTGTAGCATGTATTATTGATAGAAAGAAGCGTATATAAACCCAATTACAAAGAGTACTCATAATGAAAGAAATAAAAACAGAATAAAAAGAAATAAGAAAGCAAATAATACACAATAAAAAGAAAATCTGCATATTAATAATGGCTAGAGATAGCATTATTATTTTAATATTCTAATATGTATGTTCTTTGCTTTTTATGTAGGTAATGAATGCAGGATTTGAGAATGAGTTTTATCTCCTCAAAATTATTATGAGGTATTTGGTGAACTTCTTTGCTCACAATAAATGTTCCTATCGTCATCTTATTTCTATGCTGTGTGCAGAGAAGGGAACGAACACTTTCTTCCATTTGATTTAACATCATACTGCTCCGCTTCAGGATTTGATGCCGTCTCCCCTATTTTGCAAGAAATCAATGCGGCACTTCAGGCCTTGGATATCTCGGTTGAGCAGGTATACTTTTTGTTCTTTGTAATTAGTTTTTATAGTCCTAACCATATCATGTATATGACAATTATATTGCATTTATTTGTGGTGTCCTTTTTTGCTTCATGACAATTTCTTACAGGCTCTCCCTTCTGCTCTTTACTCCATTATTCATCTTTTTTAGTGTGCACAAAAAAGGATCCAAAGTTGGTTAGATATACCAATAGAAACTCTTTTTTAACCTAAAAGTTTAGGGCCATTTGGGATCACTTTTGTTTTTATTTTTTGTACTTTTTTATTTTGTTTTTCTTATGATCTGATTTGAAATAAAACATTTTAGATATATTTGCGATTTTATTAATTTTAAAAAGACTCAAAACACATAGAGGTTGTTTTGAGTCTTTTCAAAAAAATAATTTAATTTATTTTTAGAAACAAAAAAATAAAAACAGGTAAAAAACTCACTAAACCAACATGGTGTTAAAAACTAATTGGATCCCAAAAAAGCCTTTAAGCTTTTGGGGAGAAAACTAATTACATAGAATTTATGCTTTAACATATTTCCTTTTGAGGGGTGTAGGACTAAATCTAAATCTCTTTTGAAATGAAAGTTTTAAAAATCATCAATTATCATGCACCAGGGGTTCACTCAACCAATCATCATGAAAGTTTAGCTACGCTTAAACTTTGCTCAACTATGGTTGAATGTACCAAAGACCAATGCGAGCTGCAGATTGTATGAACAAATCAATTCCCAACAAACCACTTATTAGGGAGTATAGATTTAAAGGGTGGCTGAAGTTGGACTGAATACACCAATGTTTAAATTTGTTTTCAACCCCAAAACTTAAATCTATGAGGAAGGACCTACAACTTCCTATTCCTGCAGCGCTATTTTCTTAACTATCCAATGTAAACTGCCCACGTTTGCTTTAAGAATCTGCATCACCTTCCTTTTATTGGATTTCTTCTTTTGGCTTTTAATCAAACTTGGACTTGAGTCAGGTCCGGTTCCGATATTATATAAAGCAAGCGCGTAGCTGTCTCAGTTGTTTTTCTGATTGAATACAGTGCAAGATATATGATCTGAACTTAACATTTTTCAAGCCTGTCTTTAACCATTCTTCTCTTAATTTTACTGGATTTATTTCATTCTAATGACCGGCTGAGATGCCCAAGCCTTACTTCCTTTCCGACTGAGAAAAATAGATGCCATATCATTTTATGCTAGTTTAATGGGGTATAAAAATTTAATTCACATGGTTGTATGCTATTCCGACTTCATGTATATGGCCAGCATCATTTGGAACAGTTTATGTATATGCTAGAACATGACTCTTATCAATTAAATTTTATTTAGAAATTTTTTATAAGCATAGTCTATGGGAAATCCGGTGTGGCATTATTGTGCATCTGTTGAAATAGGTTTTTATATATTTTTTTAGCTATTAAATGAATGGCATTTGGATTTGATTTTTATCTGGATATAATAAATTCTTGTCATGCTGTATCCATTTTGAGAAAAAAAAAATCTTGCCTTGAGGAGTATTTTATTGGATTATTTTTTTTTAATTTATGTGTCTACTAGTTAAATACACTACATACTAAAAATATATAAATCTAAATAATATCACAAATGATGGAACTTTGTTTAATAGCATGCAATGCATATTTAATACATATAACGTTTGATATTTTGTTTTACAATTATTGTAATATTTGGACTTCTCCAATTGCTTTCATCATCTATAATTGTACATTCCTATTGAGCATTGATTGAGGTGGTAGTATTGATACCGAAACTTGTAGGAAAAACAGTAGAAAACACAAACACAAACTTTCATTAATATTAAAGTGGGGTTACAACATGACTTGAACCGAAATAACAACACAAAGCATAAAACGACACCAGCAAACACTCCTAATGTATCTCATTAGGTGATAGGGTCGACTAGAGGGATCAAGATGATTGGGAGGGATGATGACAGTCACAGAAAGTGGGTAGCAGCGAAGGGAAGGTGCATAACTGTAGGGACAACAAGTAGGAAAAGGTTGTAGATGGTCGGCGACGGTAGTGGGGTGGTTGAGAGGAGCTTGAAAGAAGTTAGGTAGATGGGACAACAGTAATAATCTGCAGGAAAGGGAAATGGTTGGGTTTCGAGGTGACAAAGGAAGAGTTTGGTGGCTGAGGAGGGGGGATGAGAGGGTTTGGGGAAGGTAGGAAGGGAGAGTACAATCACTACCTTGGAGAGGATACAACTGGAGCACCGCCATTTCCTCGGATATAACTTGCAAAGGGGAAAGAGGCTTCACACAGTAGATCAGAAGACAAATCCACTAGAAATAACTCTCCACACACATGGTACAACAATTTATAGGCTCCTCTAGGGCATAAGAAGCTTCTACACAGAAAAAGGGGGTGGAAAAGACGAGATATCTAGAAAACTCTTCCTAGAAAGAACTAGTGTGAAACATTCCCCCCTGGATCGTGTGAGTTCGCGATTCTTTTGCCTTGCTCGCTCGCAAATTCTCTTGCTATCAGTATTTCGAGTTGGTTCCCGCTCCCACGAAGCTTCTACCCTGCAGGTTCGAAGTGCTTGCATCAAGGGCTGCCCTAGTGTCTGCATCAATCTCATGGGATTGAGGAGTTTTAACTTCATTGGTCGAAGTTTTAGTTTCGTTATCAGCCACCTCTGGATCTTCACTGGTGACTGCACTATTTTCCGAGGTATATAAAGGTCTTTCCTAACTTACGAGTAAATGTCTGTATCGATTTGTCCATCTGAAGCTGTGCACCACACCTATGCTAGTGAACCTTCCCAAAGTAACTATTGGTTTAATCGGGCGTGTAGTGAGTGATCAGACTCTTCCCGCTTTGTGGTGGTGTTGCCGGTACGGTGTCGGCCTGAAATAACCTCGGTCGTATCTGGTCTTGTATCGGGGGTGGGTGTCTCGGTCCTCTCGCTGGTGTCATCACTAAAGCTGATCTCACTGACATCGGTTTGTTGATCAGGGATCTTGTGACCTGGAGCTCTGTTGATGGAAAGAGGGTGATGTGCTTTCTGTCCTTGGTGAAATAATACTTTTTTCTATATTGATCATGTTGAGTCATTCGGTCAAACTGCTACGGTCATCCCAACAAAAGGTGACAGACATCCATAGGCACCACATCACACACCACACCTGGTCTTGCAACTGGCCTCCGATCGAAAATTATTCCAAGCATCTTCAATCAATGCCGACTCAATTCTCCTTCAGCAATGTCAGTGAGTATGGTTAGGAATGTCTCTGAGTTGGAAGTCCTAATTTTTCTACCATCTATGTTGGCATCATGTTCTTGTTGCTTTCGCCATCGATGATGAGACCACATACATTTCCGTTCACTGTGCAGCGTGTGTAGAATATGTTGTGGTGAAGTTACTGCAAATCCCTCGGTTTGAAAGATTTGTCTAAACATGGTTGCTTCTCCTTCGTCTAGTGGGAGTTGATACACCTCACTCTGTTCTTCAGTTTTTTTCTCGTTGCTCATTTCTTCCATGGCGACTTGATCTGTGAGTGTGACTATCCTGCTCATCGGACAGCTGTAGGCTATGTGGCCATAGCCGTGGCATCTATAACACTTTTTGGCCAGTACCATGTTGGAGAAGCTACCATTCTCCTGTTTCTTCCTGATTTGCTATGTATTGTCATACCCCTGTCCGTGCTTGCCTGTGTCTTTCGGGATATCCCTGTTGGTCGTGTTGAGTGTAGATGACAGCCTGTCTGAAGGTTCTTGCTTGAAAGATGATTGTTGCCTGCTCTGCTTCTGTTGTGTTTCTACCTTCAAAGCTAATGTTTGGACTTCTCCTAGAGTCTAGTATGACTGCAATTGTATCACATTGCAGATGGTGGGTTTCAGACTCTCAAGGTATCTTGCTATCATATGTTCTTGGCTTCGTCAGCTTGCATTTTATCTGTAATTGGTCGAATTGGGCTGTGAACTTCTCAGCTGAACAATCCCTCTACTGCAAGTTGTGGAGTTTTACAAACATATCCTTGCAATAGTGGGGTGGAAGGTAAGTTTTTTGCATTACCTTCTTCATCTTCTCCTACTTAGTGATCTTTTCATTGCCTTCCCTCTTCCTCTGCCTCTGCATATTTTCCCACCATAGGGAAGCATTCTTTTTCCGCTTAATAACAACTAGCTTGAACCGTTTGTCTTTTGGAACATCTTTTTATTCTAAAATCCATTCAACTGATTGTAGTCAATCGATAAACTCATCAGGATCCATACCCTCCAAATTCTGAGAGGTCCATCTTGATGCCAAAGTCCTTGACCTTCAAAAAGGAGTCTCTTCTCTCGGTCTCTTTTGATATTGGATACCAAAACGACGTGGTTGATAGTCATGGTCATGGATGAAGGTAACCTCTTCTTAGTTTCCGTCTTCTAGCTCTCCCAATCTCCGTTGTAGACAAAGAATTTTTTGTTAAATCTCTTCCCGGGTCAAGTTTGGTGTACCTCTTCGCGGTGGCATGGCTAGGATTAGAAATCGAAAGGAAAAATTCGGTGGAGGTAGCTTGGGTAGGGTTGGATGTTACCAAACCTTAGGATGAGATTAGGGTTGGACTAGCTCTGATACCAGATGTTATCGGAACTAGTAAGAAAAACAGTGAAAAACACAAACACAAACTTTCATTAATATTAAAAGAAGGTTATAACATGACTCGAACGGAAATAAGAACGCAAAATATAAAATGACACCAGTGTTCCTAATGTATCCAAATGTGTGGTGGAGGTCGGTTGGAGGGATCGAGATGATTGAGAGGGATGACGACAATCGTGGAAAGCGGGAGGTAGTGAAGTGAATGTGCGATACTGATAACAAAACTAGTTGAAATGTGGTATAATATATAAAGTAAATTTTTATTGATTTAAAAATAGAAGTACAACACGACTCAACAAAAGAGAGATACAATAACGGAAGAATCACTAGCTAGAGCTATAGGAAGAGATTCAAAGGTGGTAGCGGCTTCAGCAGGGTGAGTGGTCATTGTTAGGTAGGAGATTGTGTTGGTTGTAGTTGGATTGGATGGCGAGGTTGGGGAGGAAGTAGGGGTGGCGGTAGAGTGGTGGAGGAATGTGGGTATGGTATGTAGCTAGGGAGTGGTAGAGAAAAGGGATTGGTGAGAAATAGCGAAGGTGTTTGAAGTTTACAACACCACCTCGGTGCAGGATACAGCTGAAGCACCACCTGTCTTTGGTTACAGCCCTAACAAGAGGGAAGGGACCCACATAAGAGACTAGAAGACAACTCTAGTAGAACTTGTTCCCCACACATACCGGGGACAACTATTTATAGCCTCCTACTTCTACATGAAAGGAAAGGGAGTGGGACGGTAAGAAGAATCCAGAAAAAAAGACTTTTATATAAGAAGGCAAGTGTGGAAGGTGCATGAAGCAACCCTTGATCGTGAAGATTCGCGATCCAATCTTTGTTCCCATTTGCGGGATTGTGATCTTGGTGCCTGTTCTCCTGCATTCGCAAGTTCGCGAGTTTCTCGCGCGCACGATGTTTCATCCAGCTTCGTGGGGCTTTGGCCCTGCTGTTTCAAAGCGTCCCACTCGAGGTGATGTTCTGTGCCCGAATTAGTCCCCTGACAGGTCGATCATATAAGCGTTGTCTTTTAGGTTCTTACGTACTCTGAAAGGTCCATCTGCTCTTGGCTTAAGCTTTCTGAATGATCCTTTGAGAAATATCTCCTTTTTCAATCAAATCCATACAAAGAAACCTTCCTGAAATGTTTTTCTCCTAGATTTATTTTCCTATGCCAAGTATTTTTTATTTTGCTTAGCAATTTCTTTGCCAACTTCTTCGTGGAGCTTTTGGATCTTGTGAGCTCGTTCTGTGGCATCCTTGCTGATTTTTTAAGATGGCGAGTGTGGTATTAATTCAAGTGGCGTGAGTGGATTGCTCTCGTACACAATCTCAAAAGGAGTTCGACCTATTGTTTGGTTGATGGATTGGTTATAGGCGAACTTAGCTTGGGCTTGGATGAGATCTCATTGTTTTATGTTTTTTCGTACGTAACACCTTCAGAGATTATCGAGGCTCCGGTTTACTACTTCCTTCTGTCCGTTTGTTTGTGGATGTGCTGTCGAACTGAATTGGAGTTTCGTGTCGAGCTTTCCTCATAGTGTCCACTAGAAGTGGCATAGGAATTTTACTTCTCTGTCGAAGGCGATGATCTTGGGAATCCCATGCAGCCTTACAATCTCCCTGCAGTATAGATCGACTATGTAAGAGGCGTCTAACGTCCGGTGACTGGGGACAAAGTGGGCCATTGTGGAGAATCTGTCTACTACAACCAATACAAAATCCTTGTTCCTTTGAGTCCTCGGAAGTTTGAGCACGAAATCCATGCTGATGTCTTCCCACAGTGCCTCTGGTACTGGAAATTGTGTGTATAATCTGAAGTTCTGAGCTCTTGTCTTTTCCAGATGACAAATCCTACATTTCTTGACATGTCATTCGACATCTCTTATTAGCTTTAGCCAGAAAAATTGCTCTCTTACCAGGGTGAGGGCCTTGTCCCTGTCGAAATAACCTGCTGGTCCTCCGTTGTGGCCTTCTTGGATAATAGCTTCCCTTACTGAACACAAGGGAATGCACAACTGACCCTGGTGGAACAGATGTCAATCTGTATGATAATATTGTCCTGCTGGCTTCTTTTGACATTGCTTTCAATTGTTCTTGAAATCTTCATCTGTTTCATATACATTCTTAATGACCTTGTAGCCCACATCTCGCGCCTGCATGGACGTGATCAATAGGTGTTGATGACTTAGCGTATCTGCTACACGGTTCTAGCTTCCCGCTTTGTCTTTTAGTACAAATTGAAATGAGGCTAGATATTCCACTCAGGTGGCATGTCGTCTCTTTAGTTTGCTCTGGTTGTTGAGGAATTTTAGGGCTTCATGATCTGTAAATAGTGTAAACTCGTTTGTAAATAGGTAATGACTCCAAGTTCCAGAGCTCTTATGATGGTGTAGAACTCTTTATTCTAAGTTGAGTATTTCCTCCTGGACTTGTTCAATTTCTCACTGAAGAAGCGATGGGGTGTCCTCCTTGGCTAAGTACTGCTTTGATCCCCACATCAAAGGCATCACATTCTTCCTCGAAAAGTTGGTTGAAATCAGATAGTGCTAGCATAGGGGCTTGAGTCGCCCTTTCTTTTAGTGTGTCAAACTGTCCTGGGCTACGGTTGTCCAAGTAAACTCATTTCCTTTCAGAAGTTCAGTCAAAAGGGAGGTGATTGTGCTGAAATTTCCAATAAATCTTCGATAGAAGGATGCCAGCCCCAAGAATTACCTCAACTCGGTGAATGATTGTGGTTCGACCCAGCTGATAGTGACCTCTTTCTTTATGGGATCCATTTGTCTGATTGCACTAGACAAAATGTAACCCAGAAAACATACCTAACTTGTCATTAAGTGACATTTCTTTTGATGGACATATAGTTGCTCCGCTCGCAATACCTCTAATACTGCCTTCAAGTGATGCAAATGATCTTCCTTCGTCTGACTGCATACTAGAATGCCGTCGAAATAGACAACGACAAACTTTCCAATGTGAGGTCGCAATACCTGGTTCATTAATCTCATAAAGGTGCTAGGTGTGTTCGACATACCAAAAGACTTAACGGTTCACTCATTAAGTCCGCCCCTCGTCTTGAAGGCGGTTTTCCACTCATCCCCTAGCCTCATCCGTATCTAATTATATCTGCTGCAACTATCTTGGAGAAGATTATGGCTCCATCTAGCTGGTCGAAGAGAACATCCAAACGGGTTATGGGAAATCGGTATTTAATGGTAATTTTTTTGATGGCTCGGTTGTCAATGCACATTCGCCTTGATCTATCCTTTTTGTGCACCGTTAGGGCCAGGACTGCACACGGGCCGGTGCTTTCTTTGACTAGCTCTCGTGCAATGAGGTTTTGCACATGCTGTTGTACTTCTTCATACTCCGCGGTCCTTAATCTGGAGGCTGGTCGGTTTGGCAATACGGATCCTGCTCTAAGGTCGATGGCGTGCTGAATATCCCTTAGTGGCGGTAATCCCTTTGGTAAGTCGACAGTCATAACATCCTGATAGTCCTGTATCAATGGTTGCAGTATTGCTGGTACCTCTCTTTCTTCCTCACTTACTTCCAGGATGACTAATGCTAGTGTTACATGGGCATATCTATCTACTCAAAACCTCAATGAAAGTTAATTCTACGAAAAAAATTAGAATCTAAACTGTAAACCACAAATGTACATTAAAAAAAAAGAAATATCAAGTAGAACTTTGGATGGAAAAAAAAACATGGAAATATTAACACAAAATGTTGCACAAATGTTTTATTGTTGAAATAATTTATTAAGCTATCTATATGATATTATTAAAGATCTATTTCTTAAATAGTGTGTCTACATATCTGCTAGCATAGTTTATGGCACTAAATCTGACAAATAGGTAATGATTTCACAATTAAATAGATGAAATGGAAGAGATGAAAAAACTCGTCACCGAAATTGTACAAGAAGAGCTAATGCAAGCTTTTTCATAATTGTTAATTTTAAGAGGCAAATTTTACTCTTAACATCTAATGAATTGTGGGCACTTCTTTAAGGATGTATTACTTGCATTTGTGTAAGACATGAACTTGGATGCATCAAATGTCTTGTTGGACAAGACCTTGCCAGGATTTATTAAGAAATAATGTGGACCACTGTTGGATAATTTTAATAAATGTATAGCCATATTTTATTATGAACATAGATCAGGCAGTATTCCTAATCTGATTGAACTGATTTGATAATATTAAGCTTAGGCAATACACTTGACCCAAAGCTAGGTTATGGCTTGATCCAACCCAATTACAATTTTGGGTTCAATCTGGTAAAAATAATCTATTTTCATTGTGTCATAAAAGGTTAAAATTCACTTTACGTAACTTGAATGAACCTAGACTGACTTGAAAAGGCCTTGGTTTAGGCTTGTTCTTTTGCCCTGATTGTTGTTTTGGGTTAGTTTGCAAATGGCTTCAAACCCCTTTGATCCAATTTGACTGAACTCGAGCCTATTTTGGCCTGCCTAGTGCCCACCTCCCTTTCGAACACCAGTGCTAGGGCTACTCCTTTTGCCTTAGTTATAGTTTGCCAAATTAGTTTTGTGTTGGCATTTCTGTCATTCGCTTTCTTTTTTATCTCCTTAATATCTTATTTTCCGTTAAAATTTATATGCTATTGAAATCAATTTTTTATATTTGTGAGAATTGATGCATTTAATGTAATTCAGTAATAGTATGACACTATTAAATCATTAGGCCTGTAGTCATGTCTTAATATTGTTTTGGGCCTATTTGGGCTTTAAACCCCTTGGACCCAATTTGATTCAACTCGAGCCTAGATTGACCTGCCCTTTGCCCACCTCTATTTTGATCACCGATGCAATGGTTGCTCCTTTGCCTTAGTTATAGACTGTTAAATTAGTTTTGTGTTTGGCATTACTGTCATTCTCTTTCTTTTTTATTGTCTAGTATCTTTTTGTTTCTGTTAAAATTTGAATGCCATTCAAATTATTTTTTTTATTTGTGCTCATTGGTTCTAGGACAATTAAATCTTAATATACTTTTAAGCTTGTCTTTCACATGCCATTGTGTTTTTTGTACTGTTCTAGCTGGTTCCCCATTAAATTTTTTTTTTCCATTTTCCACGAAATTGTTGATGCTTCATAGTTTGCAAAAGCTTATGTTTTATCTTTTAACTGCATCTAATGTCTTCAACTATTCTTGTCTGTCCATATATAGCTTATTTGTTTTGTTATCTTTATTTTCTTTTGTTCAGCAGCAGCTAAAATCGTTCATGTTTTCTTTTTGTTGTCTGGCCGGTGATATAGCTGCATGCAGAAGCTGGAAATGGACAATTTGAGATTTCTTTGGGGCATTCAAGTTGTACTTCAGCAGCTGATAACTTGGTTTTTACTCGTGAGACCATCAGATCTACCGCACGGAAACATGGGTTACGGGCTACTTTTCTGCCAAAGTGTGTATTTCATTTGTGATTTGCATTCTTTTTTTTTTCCAAGTATATTTAGCCTTTTTAAATTGTTTAAATACTTACCTTGGGATCACAATACACTTGAGGAAACATGATTTTTCTCTCTTAGCATTGATATAAGTTTGTTTTCTAATATGTGTTTTAAAATCCAATTGGGACCATATGATGTTTTATCTGTGATCTTTCGAGATGAAGATTAACATTTGTATGCCTATTAGTTTACCTATTTGTGTTGTAATAAAATTTGTCTAAGGCAATGCACACACCCTACTTTAGAACCCATATGGTTTTGCCCGAACCATGAAAAAGGAGGAAGACATGTAAAATAGAATAGTAAGACTTAGAGAAAGAAACTTCAAAAAATTTATATTACTTGGTGGTAGGAAATATAGAGTTGAATCTTGTATGCTGATAAGACATTGAACGCTACAATAGTAAGTACATTTAAATCCAATAAATAAATACATGATATAGCTTTAACGGACCTATGTAAATAATGAGTATGCACATACATAGTTTTGTTTGGTGTGTGCTTTGACGCTCTTGCTAATTAGAGGAGCCATTGTTTCTAGATAGGTAGGTTTTTCTGGAGCCTCCAAACAACTAAGGTAATTCTACTTTATGGTTAACTCAAGGACATAATCAATCGAAATATTATAATATACGAGTTTTTATTTTATTATAGATGGGAATAACAATTGTCTTGGATTCTCCATTGCAGTGAGCTGAGTTAACAATATGTCGCTTTTGTTAGTAAGTCTCGTATGTTTACTTAAGGGAGTTTTAAGCTGACCACTTCCAGTGGGCCTACTGTGCATCTAATTTAAGTGTGTTTGGTTATTGCACAGAGTTTATGGTTGTAGCTCTCACAGTTTTGATCTCTTACACCAGCCCTTGTGGAGACGGCTTATTGATGTTCCCCTTGATGTTTTTCTTTAGTAGGGAGTTTTCACTTCTCAATATTTTAATGAATACGACAAGGGTGACTTCAGCAGCTTGCAGATAACATGGTATGGTGTGTTGATGAGAATGTTGGGGAGATGGTGATGGTGGATAGTGCAATTGCTGAGATTGATTTACCCAATCTATCTATCAAAAACATGTTTAGAAGATTTGTGATTTTACTTATTCAGCAACCCCTAAAAATCATAGCTTTGTGCCACAACATATGCGGGAGAGTCTAGTGGCTAAGATTGGCGAGATGAGGTCTTTTGACTTGCACTTGGGAATGTGAGAGCTCATCCTTTTTGATCAACTTGTACATGTTGGGGAGAATATTGAGGTAAATGGTGGCTCACTTCTTTGAGGCAATAGATGTGCTTCCCCACTGTCTTTGATAAGATTACTTCTTAGTCTGTCAAGATATTCAAGATTTGTAGAGTCCATAACAACTTACAATTTTATGGAGTAATCTAAATCAAATTAATTTTTGTCTTGGGCTGAGTTTGTTCTTTGGCAATTAGTCAGGATTGGAGCTCTTTCTCTCAGCATGTTATTAGACCCATTTATAAAAACTTTTTAATAACAAGTACCTGTGTAGTCACTCTTTTAGTTAGGATTTATATAATTATTTATTTGTACTTTGTTATGATTGTTATAATATGTTGGCGATGCTACGTTTACATGGCCTTTCTGTTTATGTATTTAATTTTTATTTGTTATGAATTTTTTCCTTTGTCATATATGTTGTTTAAAACCAGACCTTGTGTTGCTTCTCCACTTTTAAAGCTAAGTGGAGCCAACCAATAAAAATACTTATTCTAAATGGTCAAAGCTTGTGCCACATACGGAAAATCAGCACAACAAAGAGAAAAATGTGATCAGACCTATACCCTCAAAACTTTTCTTGCTATAATGTGCTTCAAATGTCATAAATTTGGGCACAGAAACACAAGACTTTTCTTGCTATACACCGCCTTCGATTTTCTAAATAAAAGTGTGATTTCCTGTAACGCCCAATATTTTGAGAAACCTAGTAAATATTTTGTCATTTTATATGTAGCATAAATTTTGCGCCCCTCAGAATTCAACCAAATTATTTTTATAAAATTCTACATGTCCCAAATGATAAATTTGATATAAAACACTATATATTAATTTTGAATGGATTGGGAGATATGAAATTCAGAAGTTATACATTTAATAATTTAATTTAATATTTAATTAATCCTAATCTTTCTTTTAACCTGTAAATACTTTGTAGCCAACAGACTCCCGCACCTTACTCGGCGTGCGATGGTTTGATGAGATCGTGTGAGAGTTAAGGAAAGATCACATAAATTTTCGCAATATATTCCCTCTTCCTTTTCTTGAATTAGCTCGACAGGAAGAATCTCGTGAGCTCTTATGCGATCTTGCACTGTAGCAGGCATAAACTGGTGAGCGGTTGAGGATTGCAGGCCGTGATCTGAAGTTTTGAGATAATTGTTGTGCCTCTTTCACGCTATTCTGGACATTTCTTTCCTTCCTTTTATTTTTTGTTTTGATGTTTGTCAAGAATTTGTATTTTTTTTCGTTGTTGGTATTCGTGGCGGAGACGAATTTGTGTCAGAAGCAACTAACTTGATTTGTGGGCTTCCGTAAGGGCTTTTAGCATGAAGTCAGCGTGAAGAAGTGAACATTAATGAAATAAGAAGAAGAGGTAGGAGGAATAGGTAGGATTGAAGAAGGTTGTGTTATGTCGAGTAGCCCGTTTGAGTTATATTTGGACAAATAAGTTATGTTTTGGATTAAATCATGATATTAGTATATTTTGACAAATAAGTTATGTTTTGGTTTAAACCACGATATGAGCACAAATCTGATGAATTCCTATGATGCTTATGATTTCCAGATTATTTTTATGAGACAGCGAGCTCAAGACGGGCGTGTGAAAACTTGTCGTAGAGCTGCTTCAACAAGTTAGATGAAATAGTATTGTGCTAACTTAAGAAGAATAATCTTGTATTGGTTTTCATGTGATTCTATAATAGATGCTAATGCATTTATAATTTTTGGCATATTGTGAATGAATATTTGTAACGAATGTATGAACGTAAATTGATTGTCTTACGATGCATGTAATTTTGCTATGATATGAAATTTATCCTTTAGGGATGGGTGACAACCTAATGAAAGTGCATGAAATGAAAATAGTTGAGGTTTATATATTTATAAGTGGCATTGTTATGATTAGATTGATGACACTTATGAATATATCTACGATTACATGCTTAGAACTATACATAAATGAACGACATGCATGTTTTATACAACAAGCATGGTTTTCTTCCCTACTTACTTTCTTTTATATGTGTTATATGATTCTAGCATGTTATGACTTATTTATAAATATGTAAACATATGAGCATGAACATCATTTCTTTTCAGTTTATAAAATTTTATTTTAGTCTTAATTATTTCGTTGAGTTCATTATTTTTCGCTATATGTTTACTTACTAGAAGAAGTAAGAAGCACCAGAGCGAGTAACCTGATGTGACTTGTATAAATTTTGCTTAATAGTTTTAGGAGTTTGTACAGACTTTCGACTACGTATTTTATTAGGTTGGATTTAGCTGCTCTATTATTTATATGTTTTGATAATATGATCTTTCATGCTTTCGAGGATATGTGAATATGAATGAAATGCTTCAATTATGATTGCGGTGATTTAGTTAGGCCAGTTTATCACCCACTAAGTTTTGATTACATAAGCCATATATGACTTGTACACTTTTTGCATAATACTTTTGAGAGCTTGTACAAAATTTTGGTTTCGTATTTATTATATTGGATTTAGCAACTTTATAGTTTATATGTTTTGATGATATAATTTTCCACACTTTCGAATATATGTGAATATTAATAAAATGAAATAAAATGAAATGTATCAAGTATGATTGCAGCAATTTAGTTAGACTAATTCATCATCTATTGAGTTCTGATTTTATAAGTAGAATGAGTGTTGGTGAGAATTTAATATGACCGAAGTGTTCGCCCCTATTGTACTGTAGCCAACACTTTGGAAGGGGAGGGGGGGGAGGCAAGTTGAGGTGTGACAATTCCTTCATAGGGTTTGGAGGAGTTAAGAAGCTGATAGTGGAGTTTCATGAGAGAATGACATTGAGGATGAATATCAACTTTTTTATTGATGATGGAGACAGCTTGTTGTTTAACGGATCCTTCAAACCAAAGCCAAGAAGGATTTGCAATGATTTTACCATAACATTTCCTGCCGCACTCTATGACTTGTTTAAGGAAATGGAATGAGGTCAGTGTTGAGAAGAGATGCCTAATAGAGTTTTCCATTAGAAGCAAGCTATATGGGCAAGTGTGGTGTGACGTTGTGTTATGGAATTTTGTCACATACTGTTAGGCTTGTCATATCAATATGACAATGATATACTTCATGATGGTCACAAAAACACTTACTCATTCATCACGGATAGAAAGCAAGTTGTGATTTTGCCTTAGAAGAAATTTATTGTGATGAGTGCTCAAGAAGAGATGGAAGCTATAACATCTTGCACCACATTTCTACAAGCCATACAAAGGCGCCAATGGGATTGACATTGGTAATGTTGGAAGTGAGATGGAGGAATCAACCATTAATGCATTGCATCCTTTTTTTGGAGAAGTTTTAGGATACATTGACAGACAATCTACCACCGGTTTACCTCTGGTACAAGTGATTAAGCGTGTTATTGATCTCATCTCGAGGTCGTTGCTCCCCAACCAACTTTAAAGGTGGTTTGTTCAAAAGTTGTCCGTAAGAAGCTGTCGGTCGCTGGAAGTGAAGTCCCGTCGCCCGCTTCGGAAGGACGTTTAATTTACATACATATATATATAATTTTGGAAAAATATGAAATCAAACTGACCTCATATTTTTCATAGTTTCAATGAAAGAGTGCTCTATCACAAATCCTGTATCTATCCCGAGGGATAAACACAAGACTTGAGGATGAGACTCGATCAAAGAAACTAAGAAAACATATGACATTCGTTT